TGGAGGAGAAGGGATCGCGGCGTGGTCATCCCCTCTGGGGGGTGATTTCTCGCTTTCTGTCTCTCTGTCTCTCTCTGTCTGTCTGGCAAGCGCACATGCGCCCTATAGCAAAAACCTCTCCAAAAAAAAAAACTATAATCATGGAGAATCTAAACACTGATAATCACAGCAAAGACAGCAAAAATACGGTACATCCCTCTTTTTCGAAGGCAGGTGATATCAAAAGAACAGAACAGTATCTGGTCTACTGACTGTCCTCTTTGGGAAGAATTCCAGAGCCAGCCTTCGGGTTCTCTCACTGTTTACTGCCCTAACCCCACATAGTCAACCGCGGTTCACGTCCCGGACCCGGTGGCTTAAAACTCACGCCGGGCGCATCTGCGTGCATGCCCAAGATCCCGAGAGGAGAATGGAGGAGAAGGGATCGCGGCGTGGTCATCCCCTCTGGGGGGTGATTTCTCGCTTTCTGTCTCTCTGTCTCTCTCTGTCTGTCTGGCAAGCGCACATGCGCCCTATAGCAAAAACCTCTCCAAAAAAAAAAACTATAATCATGGAGAATCTAAACACTGATAATCACAGCAAAGACAGCAAAAATACGGTACATCCCTCTTTTTCGAAGGCAGGTGATATCAAAAGAACAGAACAGTATCTGGTCTACTGACTGTCCTCTTTGGGAAGAATTCCAGAGCCAGCCTTCGGGTTCTCTCACTGTTTACTGCCCTAACAGTCAAGGCGAACAAAATGAAGAGTTGGCCAGAACTTACGCTGCATTTCTCTAAACTAGTCATTGACACGCATGCACACTGTTTTGCTCACAATTACTTTTATCAACAGTCGGCATGTGATCCCGAGTCCCAACTTTTTCTTCTCTACCTTAAGCCTGGATGTCCCCAAAACTACTTCTACAATGGTTTGGGCCCTTTCTCCAAACCCAACTTTTGTAAAGTACAGATTTATGAGAATATAAGATGATGTGTGTTTAGATTTTTATGCATTCTCACCCATTTTTAAAAGAAGCCTTTTAGAAAACACTAAGAACAATTGAGAAAAGCCAAGTGTTTATAGAGTTTCTATTTTCAGTTCAAAATTTAGGTTATACTATTGAGACCAGCTAACACTCTTCACAATTACTGTAGACTCCAAAGCGCCTTTGATTATATGAGTCATATCTATTGATAAAACAGATACATTAGAAATTAAAACAGATTTAAAAAAAAAAAACACCTCAAAAGAAACAATTCACATAGACTGTGTAAGTGACCACCATGAAAATCATTTACCTTTGGTTATGAAAGAAATACAAATGTCAACATGATATTTTTTTGCATAACAATTGTCTAGTCACTGAATTTGTAGTTTCCCTGTTTGATGATAACACCCGGGGTTGATTTAGGGAAACTACTCTCTAAGTTTTTCCCCAAGAGCAAAATGCCAGAATGGAATAACTACTGTTTCATAACACTTTGCTAAATATTTCTGAGAAACCTCAAAATATTCAATTAGTATTCTTATTTTACAGTTGAGAAAACAGTTCTTTGTTTTGTTTAGCCATAGGGCACATGCGCCTGCCAAAGATAGAGACAGTGAAAGAGAAAGTGAAAAATCACACCCCAGGGTGAAGGCCAGGCATCAATCCCTTCCCTTCCACTCTCCTCCTGGGATTTTGGGCACACACACACATACCCAGCGTGATTTTCAAACTGCCAGGTCTAGGACTTGAACTGTGGTTGGCTATGGGTGAGTCCAGTGCCTTAACCACCAGGCCACCTACTGGCCCCCAAGAAAACACTTAAACAAAATGAAGTAATTGCCTTATAATCTTGCAACATTTAAGTAATGGAATATCTGTTAGAACCTGGAAAATACAGGTTACGAACTTATCCTGTGGAAGTAAACAAGTATGTGTACTAATATTTATATAAGCTAGATAAAGTTAGTTACAATCGTGGAAACCTTCAATCAGTATAAATATCTAGCGCTTCATAGTTGGCCAATACAGCATATCCACACCTGAAAAATGACAGCACAGTGAGAACCGTACTCTTACTCACCGATAGACGGCCATTGCTTGTATAATGCCTGACTTATAATAGATACTTATTAATAGGTTTTAAGCACTAATGAACACACGAAACATTAACAATTGTTTTAAAAATCATGTTATGCCAGAAAATTTCATAAACCAGAGAGAAACCTGTTCAAAAGAACTGCATGAACATAATCACAATTTCACCAATCTGTAAGCACAGAGAAAAATGTTCTTCAAGTATAAACAGATGTAAATGCACGAATTCCTCATGTGTCCCTGTACTGATGACACAACGTATTCAATGAACACTGACTAGATAAATGAATGAGTGACATTGTAGTCGCAGCTACCTCTCAGGAGGATTATAGGTCATTTCCCCTTTACTCCTTTGTGATTGTCTATCTGCAACAAAATTTAAACAGGGAGCATGAATTATCTTTGTAAGAAATAAGAATGTTAGAAAAACAAAATCATTCTGGGAACTATCTAGGAATTTGGTATAAAAGTAGCAACGAAAGATACCACACAATCCAATCCAAAGTAGCTTGCATCTAATTTTCTTACTAGGGTTCAGCAACAGAAAATAACAAATGTTACAGAAAAACATGACAAGTCTGAGGCCCGCAAGTGTGCTGGTTGAGGCACTGGAATCCCACATGGCCGACCGCGCTTCAAGTCCTGGACCTGGCGGCTTGCTTTCTCATTCCCTCTCTCTCTCTCTCTCACTCTCTGTCTCTCTCTAGTAAGCATCAGTGCCCTGCAAATGAAAAAATAATGATAATAAATAAATAAATCTTTTAAAAAATTGGCAAGTCTAATATAGTGCAGCTAATTATTCCAGAGTATGAGTCTAGAATCGAGGCCACTTGACTTCCAGGCAGCTAGAGCTCCAAAACACCAAGTGACAATATGAGCAACATAAGGACACTGCTAGGCAGGTCCCTACTTCTAAGTTGAGGACCAGCTAATTAATTACATATTTTTATATGCTCAAAAAATTCTACATTTCTGGGAACCAGCAGTTAGCGTAATGGCTATGTCACTGGACTCCCACGTAGTCGACCGCGGTTCGCGTCCCGGACCTGGTGGCTTAAAACTCACGCCGGGCGTGTGTGCGTGCGTGCCCAAGATCCCGAGAGGAGAACGGAGGAGAAGGGATTGCAGCGTGACCATCCCCCCGGGGGGGTGATTTCTCGCTTTCTGTCTCTATGTCTCTCTCTGTCTGTCTGGCGAATGCACGCGCCCTATAGCGAAAAACCTCTCCAAAAAAAAGAAAAATTCTACATTTCTCAGAAATATTGCATTTTCATGTGACATGTCTTGTCTTCGGGGATTTGTGGGCTTCCTAAAGTTGCTCCCAAATTTGTGTGCTGGAAAGGCCTACTATGTGTAGCAGGCCCCACGGCTGTGGCAAAATTTGCACACACACACACACACACACACACACACAAATTTGGTCCCAGTCAAAGCTATCTATAAGCAATAAGGGGCAAAAAGCCGATAGTGAATTAAAGACATGCAAGAGGACAAGGGACAACAACGAATTCCATCTTCCTCTTTTCAGTCCTGCAACATTTTTTTGAATATGTAAATAGTGTGATTTCATGATTTTGCTTTCTAAGCATAGGCACTAAGAAAGATACTGCTGAGTCAAAAACGCAGGCCAAATTACCTCTATGGAAAAAACTTTATCAAGTGCTAAAAAAAAAAAAATTAATAATTTTTTCTCTAATTAAATATAAATGCACAATACTTTGAAAGTAATTTCTCATGTTAAAAATAAATAATGTCTTTCTTCTCCCATAAAATGTGCTTCCCCTACAGGAAGTTTGTAAAGCTGTTTTGAGCAAATGCAGATTAAACACTTCTCTATGCATTTCACAATTATTGCTTCATTTAAAATTTAACTCTTTCTGAGCTCAATGAAAGAAGCCAAGAGCAGTTTCCTATCCTAACACCTAACTTGACTTACAAGGTTTAGGCACTGCTAGGATGTAATTTTTTTCCACCATAATTCCATGCAAATAGATCTTAGGCTACAATTCCAAATTTATGCAACCAACAGAAACAAAACAAAACAACGATCCTCCTTGAACCCCAAGTATATGTGCAAACATTATATAACTTTAGAATCCACACCTATCCCAATGATATGAGCCTAACAGTCTCCATCTGCCTCAGCTGAACAAATGCTGGTATCACCAACCCATAGGAGCAGCATTTCTTGTTCTAGTTTCTGAGGTGCAAAAGATTATTTTTAAAGTTATAGGAGACTTGGCTAACATCAAGCCGCGGTTATTTCAAAACCAAATGGTCTTTTTTCCCTTCTTCTGCAACAAAAGTACTAAAACAGTATTCGCACTCCCCATTCAACAATCTAATTCGATTCCATATTTCCAGGTATCTGGTTTTGAACTCAGTTCTCCCGGTGTGTCAAACCGCTTAGGGCAAAACGGAATCAGAGCACCGGTCGGGTTACAACTAATTTTTCCATATGGGCTTTCACACAACCAGGCAGCCCATTACTCAAAATGCTTTGCCTAAGTAACCCAGCCCTTTTGAAATTAAAACGTAAATGAGCCAACAGATTCTGCGGCTCTAGTTGGTCAGGGCTGTCAAAGAGCGTGCAGTTCAAGTTCAGGATCCGTAACCACTGGGTGGCTTCACGTGGAACACGGAGCGCCGCTTCACTGCCTTTCCCAGGCTAACGCGTGGGGCTCCGACTGCAGGAAATAGCTTATTGTGGGACTCCGCGGGGCATTTAGACCCAGGAAAGCAAACTCGCATTGGCTAGGAGGCAACTGAGCTCCCAGAGCGTGTCTCATTTCACAAGGCGGGGGACAGGCGGACTTGGTAAAGCCGCCCTGAAGTTGGCCTCCATCCTTTCTCCCTTTGCGAGTGAGCTAGCAGCCTGCAGCGAGGGCGAGCGGGAGAGGGAGCGGAGCAGGGGAGAGAAAATGACATCGCTTACAGTTCCCAGAGCTGCACGAGAATCCTCGGGCGCCTCTAAGTCTTTAGGTTTCTGCCAGGATCCTTTTTTTCAGCTCCGGACTTAGAGAACGTCTTATCCTTGGTAGGAGGGGCTAAATGTGGGCCGGTCTCCGAGTCTCTGCAGATGTTTTAAGGTGGAATTAAAGAGGAAGCGCGGGAAAGCTCTCTTCTCACCGACGCTGAGTTTTCGTGTGAATACGTTGTGATCAGAACCAGGAGTCTGAAGTTAGAAAACATGCTTAAGTCATATGTAAATCAACCGGCCTTAAATGCCATGGATGCTGTCGTGTGTGTCTGTGTGTGTCTAGAACGACTTCCTGGCCTTAAGTAATCCCTACTTCCTCTTTTTTTCCAAACGAGAACAAAATTGAAAAGAGAGTAAATAACTAGAACTTTGGAGCGTTCTTTCTGAAGGTGAAGTTTAACAAACCCAACGTATAAAATAGGGACGTTTTAAAGATGAACAATAAAAGACCACTCCTAAAATCCAATCTGTCTAAACGTTTCCTCCCCAAACTCAAAACACCTGTGCAGATAATCACTTCTTTGCAAATCTGAGACTAAAGGCAGACCAAAGAAAGCAGTATGTAAGCTGCTATTGGGAAGGGGGGTGCTGGCAATGACATCAGGCTGAATTTCACATTTCCAAAGTTCAAATACCTGATTAACCCTGTAATGAAGAGGGTACGTTGTTTTAAATTTATCTATATACTTTCCGGAAGAATCGATCCAGGTCTTTAAGGACTGTAATATTCCTTCACTATGTCTTGTTTTTCAAGAACGCGATCCCCTATTTTGGCCTTTAATCAAATACTGAGTTCGTACCTCTAATTCTTTCACAGAATGTTCACAGACTATATTTTCTACAACCTTCTATAATTAACTGCTTTCTGTAGCCCAAGATTCAACTGCTTTTTGTTTTTATTTTCTCCATAAATTCAATCTGGCATATTAAAAATCTCACCTTCCTAAAAAAGACCTAGAATGCCTTCTGGGGTCAGATTTTTCTCTTTTCAAAGAAGACCCTGAATTCCTTGAAAGATATTACAGTATGTGCTGGATAGAGCAGCGAAGACTCTATGGTGTTTTCCTCTTTTTCTCCAGTCATAATTGGTGAAAACAAAAGAAAAAAACAAAAAGTTTTGCAGGGAATGTTCATCTCCATCTCTGATGATGAAAGACTTCCTTGAAATGCAGCTTTGGGCTGGTATTGGTGTGATGGTAAGGATGCTGGATTCCCACATAGTCCACTGCAGTTCGAGTCCCAGGCCTGTTCTCTCTCTCTCTCTCTCTCTCTCCTCCCCTTGTCAAATTAAAAAATTAATTGATTAACTAAACAAAGTTAAATAGAATAATTGTTTTTAAAAAATGCAGCATCATATACTTTCATCAGTTTGATAAAAAGTTGTAGTTCTCAATTTTTTTTAGATTTTTTTTTTTTTTGCCATACAATGCAAGAACTTGCCAAAGAGATATAGAGACAGAGAAAGAGAGGGAAAGTGAGAAAGCACCTCCCAGGAGGCATGACCACACCACAATCCCTTCTCCTCCATTCTCTTCTTGGAATTTTGGGCCCACATGCACATGTTCCCTGAATGATTTTCAAGCCACCAGGTCTGGGATTCGAACTATGATTGAACACATTCGAGTTCAGCACCTTAACCACTATGCCACTTGCTGGCCCCAATAAAATGCTTTTAGGGAAAATTTTAATACATATTATGATTAGGGTTAAATTTATGGGGAGACTTTTGCCTCTTTCCAGCCTTACTAAATGAGGCTGACTTCATGCTTCCACCAAATAAAAGCCGTTGCAGATGTCTGCCCTCAGAGTCCATGCAGACCACATTCCATTGCTCCATTCCAGGGTGCTGTGGCTTCCGTTCCACATCCATTTAGGCTCCCTATCTCTGATCTCATTATTCACATAGATATGGATGGTACAAATTTAGATGTGCTGTCTTCACTCTGTCCTGTTTGCTCCCCAAATATTTTTCAACTTTGGAATACTAGCTTCTAGATCCTCTGCTTCTACTCTAGGTAAGAGACTCTATCTTCATAGCTTGCCTCTGCATAGGGGACCCCAGGTGTGAAGACTCCTCTTCAGTTGACTTGCCCATTAATGAAAATTGGTCACTGAGCCCATCTGAAACTCAGCAACATTGTAGCAGCACCCTCTTTCAATCCAGGCCTACATCTTTGCATTGTTTCCAGTCAACAAGTAGAATCAATTTGCTATTAGTTACCAGCATTGTTACACATTTAGAGTAAGAACAGTTAAGATACTGGAGAGGTAAGGAACTAACCTTAAAACTGTTTTTAAGGAACATCCTTAAAACTGACCCAAAATTAACTCAGAAGAAGTGCTTACTTGTCAAAACTATGACTCAAAAAGCAGAAGAAAAGCCTAAAGGTGTTATAATTGATTTTTCTTCCTCTATTCTGTGCTATTCACAAAAGTGACTTGACCTGCCCTACTCCTGTGAACTTGATCACAGGGAATCCGTTGCTGTTGAATCATTACGGCCAGTGATAATGGTTAGCCAGCCTGGGGTGCTCAGAGAAAGCTGAAGAGAGAAATTTAATCCACATTGCAAGCAGAATCAGAAAATACTGATAACTACCAATCCACTGATGTACTTTCTTTTGAAAGAATTATTTAATTATTAACATTTTTTTAAATTTACTAGAGGACATGTGTGCTCACCAGAGAGAAAGGGAGAGAGAAAAAGTGAGAAAGCAAACCACTAGGTCTGGGATTCAAACCATGGTTGGCCATGTGGGAGTCCAGCACCTTAACCACCATGCCACCTGTTGGCCCTTCAATTGATGTTCTTCTAATAACATGTCCCTCTATTCTACTGCTATGCTTGCATCTTCTGGCCCAGCCACACTTAGTATAAATATAGTATATAAATATTAATAATGGGTTAGTATGTTTCCTACTTGTATCTGTGAACATCACTCAATAAGTCTCTCTAATACTTCTTTTATGTATTAATAAAATTAATCATGTTAGTAAGATGCTGAATCAAAGAGAATGAAAGTAATTCTCCCTTTGTAAAGTTTTCTGGCAGCCAGCTAATTGACCCCCATCTTCATCCAAACCAACATGTTCTTCTTGCACATCTTTCTCTTAAATTCTGCTGAAATAATCCTCTTCATTCTGTAAGGCTTCGTTCATATACTTCCTCATCTGGAAAATTTTCCTCTCCTTACCTTTTCCAGCAGAATTAATCATTCCACTCATAAGAGCACTCATTAGAGCACTGATCATATATTATGCTTTGCTATGCAAGAAAAGCAAATGTTTTATGTTTCATGAGGTCAGGAGACAAGTCTTTTCCATGGTAGTGAACCCTCTTTCCACCTGAAGCCCTAACCACTCTCGGATCTCAGTGGATGCTTGTTGAGCCTCAGCGTCAGGAGCTGTTGGGACTACAGGCATGCACCACCATGCCCAGGAATTTAGGATGGGTTGAGAATCAAACCCAGGCCTCCCATTCAGCCTCAGTCTGCAGAGTAGTAGCAGCCAGTGCACACTACCACACCTGGGCCAAGAACTGGCTTTGGGACCAGCAGATAGCGCAATGATTACATCACTGCACACTTACATGAACAACCATGATTTGAGTCCTGAACCCGGAAGTTTGAGATTCCCACCAGGCATGTGAGCGTGCATGCCCAAAATCCAAAGAGGAAGAGGGAGGAGAAGGGATTGTAGTGTGCTTATCCTCTGGGGAGTGGTTTCTCACTTTCTGTCTCTCTCTCTGTCTCTCCAATGAGCATACGGCCCTACTGGAAAAATCTGTAAAAAACAAAAAACAAACAAAAAAAGACTATCTCTTTTTATGTTAGAATTTTAATTGTAATTTCTAATTTACATATAACAATTGTTTGTGAAGCAAACAATATAGTTTTTCAAAACGTGGATATAATTAACGTGTACTGATGAAATTAGGGCAAAAACATTTAATTTTAAGAATGTAATCACTTGGACTTACTGGATACTCCAGGTCTCATTACCTATGGATAATGATAATTTCTTCCTTTTTTGAAAAAATTTCATCTTCACGCTTAATTGCTGTATCTCCATACCACCCAATAGAGTTTTTCAAAAGCATGTATGATGTTACCATTGAATCAGGAATAGTACCCTATATATCTTTTTCATTGGAAAACTCATTCTTGGGTTTGTCAAGTACTTTCTGCCCAAGACCCTCCCGCCCACCCACAGAGTAGAGGTTATTGCACTTGCCTAGAAAGAACTGTATCTCTGACCAGCAGGTGGTGATGCAGAGGGGAAGGTGGCCATATTCCACATGGCAGACTGCGAGCTTCAAGTCGACCTGGCAGCTTGAAAATCTCACCAGGCACATATGTGTGCATGCCCAAATCCTGAGACGAGAGTGGAAGAGAAGGGATTGTGACATGCCTATCCCCTCTGAGATGTGATTTCTCACTTTCCCTCTCCCTCTCTCTCTTTTTCTGGTGAGCTCACATGCCCTGTAGCAAACTACAAAAAGAAAAAAAAAAAAAAGCCTGTATCTTAATAGCTAGACACCCTACCAGTAGTTACCCATACATTTGATCAGACTTTAAACTGAAAAGTGGAAACAATTGTATTCTTTGTTCATTTTTAATTGAATGCATTAATCAGATTATTACATTTTATTTTATATTTTGTTTTGTCAGAGTGCACACCTGCATGCCAGGGAGAAACAGAGGAAGAGAAAATAAGAAAGCACACCCTATGAGGGATGGTCACACCACAATCCCTTCTCCTGCATTTCTCCTTTCAGGATTTGGGGCACACACACACAACACATTACTGGCATATTTTTCAAACCACCAAGTCTGGGATTGAAGCCACAAATTCAGCCATGTGCAATCCATCTGCGTTAACCGCCACTGTACCAGCTATCACAATTACTATATTATTAAACTTGTCCTCCTCAATTTTTAAAAATACGTTAAGAAGACTATACACACTTAGGCACTAATAGTGTGGTTGTTACTCCCGTATAAAGCTGTATTGGGCCAGGTCCTTTGTATTGTCACCATGGTTAATACACATTTATTAAATCAGTCATTATTATCTTTATTTACAATCCTGATGTTAGAATTTTTATTTAGAAGCTCGCGAAATTAGCAGAGAAGCTACAGTTTCTCCCCAAGTTTATCCAACTCCACGCCCCATGATTTTTCCAGTATTTCACCCTT